ACGCCAGCTAATCGAAACGCTTTGGTATCACTGACTCTTATCTTTATAATTAGGTGTCTAATACGAAGTGTTTATTAATAGATGCAAACATTTCAAACTCTTCTTTCAGTAATGAGCCAGGTAAAATCTGTTTACTTCATGTTTACTTCTATATGTTCTGGGGTTATTCCAGGTCTTATGAGAATTCCTTAGGTGGAAAGGAAGGTAATTTAGGTTTATCACATTTTAGAGAATGGGAAGCACACATTATCATTTGAATATGAATAGTAAGCTGCGAGGTATCTTGTTGATAAGAATGTTAATTAGTTTGCAGTATGTATTCTTGATGCATTCTGTCTCAGCTATAAGAGCGAAGTTTGTGATGTTATTGGTGTGGCGATCTAACACTATAGATAACGATACAACGCTCAGGGACGATACGATTTACGATAAAATAATGACTACTCAACTCGATATTTAGCTGAAGAAGACAATGGGGTCGAAAGTTTATTTACTCCAATAAAATAATAATCGGTGAAAACCCAGTCGTTTATATATCCTTAGATGGCCTTGACCGGAAGAAACAAAATAGCATATTCAAAATGCAAAATGGAACAATCAACGTTTAGTATCCTAAACTGCAGTAAAAATAAACAGCGTAGCATGGCACAAAAAGGGCGCGAAAATAGGCCCTTAAACTTTACAATATAGTCATATTAAAAGTTAGTTTTCTTAGGGATTAGCCAGCCCTAACAATTGGGTTGTAGGCTTGGAGCACTAACACCGAAATGTCACCGAAAGGACATGTAGAAGTGAAATGTTGCTCCAAGTAAAATGGAAGGCCTTATGCTGTACCTTGAAGAAATCCACTGAGTACTTTTAAACGTGGTATGATAGATCTAGACCTTAGCTAACCATACAAATATGATGACTAATCAGCCATTCCGGGAACGGTGGTCGACGTGATCAGATACTTCAGAAACCTAAGGTAAATAACATCAATTTAACCCTACAAATCACTAGTACTATCTACGGCAGTAAACTCGGTTCGTTCAAGTCCCAATATATATATAGCTAACCAGTATCATATAACAGTATTATCTCAATTTAGTCATCATAAAATTGTAAGTGCTTTCAAAGCAGTGATATATAGTTTTAATCAAACCATCATCATCATCATTATCAACATAGGACCAGGCATTACTGTGTAACGGTCCGACTTGCCACACCTCATATCAGCACATCAAGTAAAAAGGTAGTGAGGTGAAGGATGAAGATAAGTGAATGCAGTCAAAAGAAATATAAAGTACGAGAAGAAAGGAAAGAGGAGTGACAAAATGGTGAGATTCGGTATAGCGTTGTTAAGATGAGGATAATGTGTGTATACATCTGCGCCCCTGACATCGGTTCTGAGCCATATCCCTTACAGTCTCCAGCCACTGGTTCCTCTTGTCCCGCCGACCCCAACCGACTAGTCTGCATCGCCCCACATGGCGTAAACCAACAGTCAGAGACTTCATGCGTTGGTGCCATGTTTTAGTCTGGCCACCTCGGGCCTTTTTCCAGCCTGAACCCACCTCAGCCAACATTGTGTGACGAGGCAATCGGTGACTAGGCATACGTAGTACGTGTCCCAACCATCTCAGTCGATGAAGGTTCACAGCCTCGTCGACTGACTTACCTCTTCTCCCCAAAACTCTACACCTAACTTCTGCATTACTCACATGGTGACACCACGGAATACGTTCTATACTACGAAGGCAACGGTGGTCAAACACCTGAAGCCTTTTTGTATCCTCCACTTTCAATGGACATGTTTCACAGCCATACAGTAGAACAGAGCGGACTGTTGTGCAGTACACGCGACCCTTAATAGACAAACGAATATCACGGCGGCGCCATAGGTGGCGCAAATTGGCAAAAGCCAATCGAGCCTTTTGTATCCGTGCAGAAATCTCATCGGCAACTAACCCACCAGGGTTGATTCTACTTCCCAGGTAAGTGAAGTGGTCAACACACTCAACCACTTCACTCTCTATTGTTAACCGCGGTACCGCTGAAGACCAGTCCTGGAGCAAAAATTTGCATTTGGGTGGTGAAAATCGCATCTCAAACATTCTCAAATTCCCACTCAAAGTGTTCAGAAGACTGCATCTTGTCAGCGTCGTCGTCACCTAACAGGACTATGTCATCTGCATATTCTAGATCTAAAGAAAATTCACCTGTGATCGGGTCAACGTCTGTGTAATTAGGTGACGAGAAGGCACTTGTGTAGTATTGATAAACAAATCTGGTAACACTCAATTGATGCAGGTTTTCATCAGTGAAACATCTTCCTCTCGATCATGTAAGTTGCATCCAACTTCATACAAACACAAAGACGTAAATAATTCCTATGGTTTGTACGCAGTTGGAATGACGACGAAGTAGCATGAATTCATCGTGTTCTCCGAAATTTATTATTCTTGTTTCACTGAAATATTGAGAGGAAATTGATATAGGTGATTGTTGTCTATGAAAACTTTTTCATCGACGTCTTGTTTTGTCAAACTGTTTAAAAATGGCTTCGTCAATTTCTTCATACTCGACCCGGTGATATCTTCTAGCCCAAGAAATTTACGAATCTGATTAGATATTATTATGGGTTGTTTGTAGAGTTTTAAAGCTATGAAGAAAAATAGACCTACTGACAATACATGATTTTTGCCAAGTGTCTATCTCCAGTTAGTGTTTACATTGTTAGGGAGTGTGCTGGTTGTGCTACTATTCCGTAACGTTTGACCAACCCTACTTAGCTTGATGTGCTCTAGTACCTGCTTAACCAGTACCTTATCTAACGTGCAAGTACTGATAACGAAACACAAACCAAAAGAACTGGTTTCAGGAATATATTCAAAGAGATAATATATTTAATCGGAATGAATGTAATAGTAATGAACTGGGGAAAAGTTTATTCAACTTATCTGGCTAGTATGGGTGAACTAGGGACTCTGAGTACGTGCGTGGTAACCAGTACAAAGGGAGCACAAAATGGCGTCCAAGCCTGCTCGGATGCATGCTCGTTAAAACAAAACTTAGAACACCTTAAGCATCCAGAGGAGAGCTAGAGGTTTATGTAGTCAATTTGATCTATTTATTTTAGCCCTAGTTGCATTTTGGTGCCAGGGTGGTGCACTACAACATCATGCTAAACTCAACCGGTATATTAAAACATTTTTAGGGTAGTTGTTTTCAAACCTCTGATCATTACTAAGGTAGTCAACTGAGTTTTCGTAAAAACTACTGGACTGAGCTACCATGTTAGGTCGATATTGCATGAGAATTTAAAACAGTTGGTGGAAGACTAAAATAAAAATTTAAACAGTAGTGTCGTGACTATGAAATCTGTGTAGGGTGAATTCATTTACTGGTACGGAGCTAATGGCACCCAGTCATTTTTATTTACGTCTATTTCTTACGATGAATGTCATAGATATCATATCTTAATTCGCTGAAGATTATTGTTGCTGAACGGAATAATGAGTAGTATGACTGTCGTTTCTTGATCATTTGCAATCAATTTCCGGGGGCTGATGCTCAGTATTTTGTTTCAATCTGACGGGAGTCATGTAAAAAAGTCATTAAATGATACTTATCAGCTAAGTGCATATGTACCTTAGCGAAAGCTGTTTCTTCAGGGATTATATGGTCGATAAACGCCACATCTGCACGTCATTGTCAAGCCGTTCTAGACATGACTGTCTGTCTGAATAGCTTATTGGGATATACGAACCGGTCACCAAATTGTGATTAGTGCCTAAGATTTGAGTTGTATTCGAATTTACTGTTCTTTTTTGTTTTTAGCACTCAAACGTTTTACAAGATGGATGCCAAGAAATGCACAAAGTAATAGATCAGCGTGAAGATACGAAAGAAAAATAAGGGTCTAGGTAATCATAGAGCGATCTGGGAAGCAGTTTCTTGCATTCGGAAAAGCATTTATTGCTATTGTTTTGCTTTCCTGTAGTGGAGGATGAAGAAACTAGCTCATGGTCTGTGGTAGCTTCAATTCTAAGGAATATCTAATGAAATCAATTGAATTACCGCAGTTCCTCAGGTCCTACTAAGGTATTTCGGTACACCAATAAATATTAGGTAAACACACCCAAACAATTGTCATTGGGTCTGAAAATGGCTTACATAGTGTTGCAGCTGGATACCAGTAATTGTAAAGGGTCTTTCGTTTATTTAATACAGAGTTACCAATATTCGTTGACTCAAAGAAATTATGTTTCGCGGGTTTAGAGAAAAATTGCGTAAATTGACGCGTTCTACACGACCTATGGGATCAAACTTTTGCAGATCGAAGTTGACTCATATTGTCATATGATGCTTTTGTTTATAAGTGATTGTAAATCTTATCGCTTACATCTCTACCAGCATGCAGAAAATGAAGCCTCCTGAACTAGTTACGACAATTTATATTCAGTGATAAATGCAAGTACAAATCCATATTTATTTAAAAAGAATTACTTTGCTTTTCATTGGCACTAAGTATATATTGCGTTACATAAACTTCGCTAACTGATCAACTGCTATTTGAATGGCTTACATTTCCTTAAGCACGTCGTTAAAAACCGAGTTACTCAAATAACAAACTGGAAGGTTTTTTGGTATTGTTTTCATCGTTTCAATCCTGTAAGTAGTTAAATTTTGCCATACAGTACGGCGTTTCACGAAAGATTTTTTTAATCTACTTGGTAGATACATTAATTTATGAAAGCTTTGCTTCATCCCCCTCTTGATTATTTTATTTCCGTCAATTTGTATACATTTCAAAACATTGGGGATTTGTAGTTCGTTCTCCGTCGCCTGAATTAAGCAGGTTAATGATGAAACTGTGGTTTTTCTGAACTGTCTTTTCTACCAATTTTAAAGACCAGCCTTTTCAAAATGTAAAATTCCAGAGTTTTTTGATTTCATTTGAAAAAGGGATGACCAATCAATCAAAACCTGATTGTTGCCTTGATTTTTTTCTCTAGCTGCTGTTTTCTCTATCGATATTTATTAGTTGGCCCTCAGCGTTGAGACCTTAGTAACCGTTGGTTTAATCTAACTCAAAATATTTATGGTCAGGTACTTGGGTGATGGTACTACCCAAGATTGGATAATTAATTGGATCTTCCCTGAAGTTTAAATTCAAGAAATTATCAAATGTAAGTAAGGTTGTCAATAGTGGTTTGAATTCCGGATTACTTTTCCTTTGGTTCCAATTAGCCTGGTTTCAGCTTTAGTATTTTTTCTTGAAACATTTTCCTACTACTGGTAAAGACAGTCTTTATGGTAAATTTATATTTAATAGTGCAAATATAACAACCTTAGAGGTGTTTATTTCAATGAAGGATACCTGTTTAGTTTATAATTACAAATCTCAGCTGAAAAAATAATTACCAACTTTTATCAGTTTTAGTCCCTAGACTTCATGTTCTTGTTACTAATTATATATTGACTGGTCACTGAAAAGTGACCAGTTTCATGTTTTCTAGTCCTGTTTGCTGACAGAGTTCTATCGATCATTTCGTAATGTGTTAGGGGACTGATTACCACGATGGACTTTAATTAATGGTAGACGGTTGTAGGAAATTAACATTCATCTCCCGACCTAGGTTTCATACTTATTAACACTTGTTAACAATGTGGGTTTACATCATCAAGGAAACTGCAAAACCCAGGGCCGCAGTTGGAAACGCTACTAATGAGCTATTTGGGCTGCCACTCACGTGTAGGACTAGAAGTATATAGATCAATGGTTGAATAGTAACCGATTTCATGTTTCCTAATCCGAAGTGCTGACTGAATTGTGTTGGTCATTTTTACAATGTGATGGCCAAGACAGGAGACACCATCATGGTTTTACAGGAGGTCAGTCGCGGCCCGAGTAGCTCAGCGATAAAGTCTTTGACTGCGGCATTGGATGATGCTGGTTCAAGTCTCTACCAGGAAATCAATTCCCTCAGGGTTGCAGATATACCTTGCTCACCTGTAGCAACAAACACAAAACCTAGGTTCAGGGCTTCCTATCGACTGTTTCCAACCATCTAAACTCAACCAAAGTGCACTATGATGCTCATTCTCCTAGCATGATGACCACATTACAAAATGACTGATAGGACTCTCAGCATCAGAAGTGGACAAAATGGAATCAGCTACTCTTCAGTGACCAATCAATACAGTCTTACAACAGGACCGGAATAGCTCAACTGTAAGGTCTTTAATTACGGCACTAGGTAGCCCAGGTTTGAACATACTACTGAAGAACTTAGTCTCAAGAAAACGATCCTTTCAACTCATTACCAGATCACTTCAATCTGGTTGGCGATATCTGCATAAGTTCAGATACCAAAACTCTTAGTATGAAAGCATCTCAGCGCATTTTTGAATGATCACTGATAGTTTTATCAGTTTTGGACTGGCGGAACACATAAATTGTTGACTGCATTTTGTTACTACTGTCACGGTGTACCACTGAACTCCTTCAAGTCTGTTTAAGAGCCGGATCTGTTGGGTTTACCTTAAAGAGTAATTCACTGTTAACAGGCTTCTGGAATCTGCTGACCAGCTCGAGTGGTTTCCCATTAATCATTTCGCTCAGTAGTACACTCTTTAGTTAGCGTTGAAGGAAAGCTTTGTACTGTGCATGCAATAGCTGCGAAATACTGGTGCAAAACTTCCGGATACTCTCATTTCTGTCATACGTCTGTTTATCTTATCTTGCCTGAGTTAGGGTGTCGGGCAATAATTTATATTGGGCCATCGCTAGCGTCTCGAGATTGTTGGCATTCAGTGATAGCATCACTTAGTCGATTTTATGATCCGACATCAGAGAATTCGTCATACAGCAGACGCAGTCGTTTTGAAACTGGTAACAGTGACTTCGACACATTTTACGCATACCGCCCTAGCCTTTCAGAAAAGCTATGATAGCGGAGCTAAACTGATATAAAATAATTTATTCCCCACGCATATGAGGAAAGGGGGTGAAATTTCAAAACTGGAGCGTAGAATCTAGTACCTCTAGTCGTTGGTTCTGTTGCGTGTATTGCTGTCAGAACATTCCTCCAGCTGTAAAAAGTTGTGTGTACAGCAGTTTAGTGCTGGTTATGTTGCTTTAATGCCACGAGATGTGTTCATGGCGTGATTGTGTTCATCCGAAACGGCCTCTGTATAATTACTTGCATCCAGTGAGAGAACGTTGTGTGATGTGTCAGTGTGCAGCACAATTGTTCGTCATATCAAGTCGTACTGCAACATTTGTTTTCAGGGATTAGTAAGCCTGGATACTTTTTTGAAAGTGGGGTTGACTAAAGAATATTGGATATGGTCACTTTGCACGATGACTTCATTAGTAGGTCTACTGGACAAGCTTCTGTTTGTTTATTACTGTGTACCTGGGGTTCAAAATACAGTACATGTCATTGATTTGTTGCTTTATCAAATGTTACACAGAACCAATGTCTCTAGTGCCTCTGTTGTTGTTTTTTGCTGTATACTAAGAATGCACTTGAAAATTGTACAGTTAAAAACATGAATTTAAATTCTGTTGAATGCGAGCATCCTTTTCCTAGTCTTCATTAGTGCTATGTTTTATCAGTTTACCAATCATTATATTTTTTAGTACATAAGGCTTATGTTCCAAGCTGTCTTATTTTCAACTAAACGTCTGAAAGTGTGCGTAGTTTCGAAGGGGTACATTATAACACTGAAACTTGTAGACAAGTCGAATAAACATGAAATTAATATGATTTATTCCTTATTTTTCTCCTGCGTTGTTTTTTGACATCACACAGAATTATGGTGATGTTAAGCTCTTTTGTTCTTGATTACATGATATCCGACAAGTCGATCACATCTGATATTCTTTCCGTACATATATCTTTATTTTAGACTTGTTGGATGTCAGGAGTTTCGTGGTATGCCTCCTAGAACGCTTTTAAATCTTAATTCTTCAGTGTATTGTTACTCAATTCGTCAGAGGGAAGCAATGACCCACAGTTACTTGAGAATCTGATGAAGAAGTTGGAACTTTTAGGTATTTTAGATAATAATGTCGATTAATTTTCACAACAAAATGGTAGGTGCACGGAAATGCGGTCGAATACATATCGAAAGTGCACTTTACTTTTCTAATTTTGCCAGATGTAAGTGATGTTTTATTTCGATAAATATCTCCATTCCTACCTTCAGCCCAGTGTAAAACATTCCAAGTAATCACGTCAACTGAGTATCCTGCATCATGTTTTATCTTCTCAGATAATCAAACTGCTCTTGTTGCTGATTTATCATTTCGTGAATTCCCAGGCTGTTTGAAAGCATTTTATCAGCGTAAAAAGAAACTGCAGGTTGAAGCTAAAGGAATAAAATACCAGCTGGGTGATTTCGGGATTAACTTCATCACAATATTCATGGGACAGAGTGCGACAGTTAAAGGTTACCTGATTGAGGTAGGTTTTTACTAGCTTTTATGCACTTCAGTTGTCTGGATTATGACAATGAGCAGACGAGTACTATTGAGACATATATCTGTTTAGGGGAATCATATCAATAATTGCTACAAACCTAATAGGACACAGCAACGTCTATGGAAAGTTGGAGAACAGAAAATCCGGCAGGTTTAATGCCTGATCGTAGGTGTGTCCATCATATATTCATCCTCCGTTAAGTAATGAAACACAAGCATACATACCGGTGCCTGAAACTGGCTGTGTTTCTCAACCCGAAGGTGGCATCTGAACCTGTAAACCGAGGGGTCTCGCACTGAAACGATTCCTAGTAAGTGTATGATTATGTTGAAGGTTTTTTACCCAAATACTCGTGAGTATGTTAGAGCTTATGGGGAATTATCAGGTGAGTTGTGTACATCGACTGATGTCCGTCAAAGATGTTCACTCTCTCCATTCGCATTAAATTTTGTCATAGACATGGTGATACCTTATTATCCACCTCTGACTTTACATTATCATTATTATTTGTCCCTTGGGTTCCTAGTGCAACATAGGGCTTCAGTAGCACGTCTCCATTTCACTCTATTCTCTGTAGTCTTTTGAACCTGGTTCCACGACTGCCCAGTAGCTTTCATTTCTTCCTCACACGATCTCCTCCATGTCACCCTCACCTCGGATGCCCAAATCGTTGTTTCCCCTTTGGGTTCCACTCGACGATGCTGCCTAGGTTGGTGAAAGAGACTACTTCCTTTAGGTTTCTCCCGTTGATGGTGATTGGTGCTTGTTGTTGTTGGTGGTGGTGGTTGGCTATCTTTATCATCTTTGTCTTCTCTACGTTCACTTGAAGTCCCGTCTTCGCTCCCTCTTCTGCCAACTTGTTGGTTTTTGTCTGTAGATCTTCGAGTTTGTGCGATATTAGACATAAATCATCATCGGCGAAATCCAAATCTTCTAAGGTCTTTTCATCGGTCAAACAGCATATGCCCATCTTCTCGCTCCTCACAGTTTGTTGCATGATTCAGTCCACCATAATCAGGAAGATCATCGGTGATAGCAAGCAGCGTTCTCTTACTCCTGTCTTCACTTCAAAGGTGTCACTGAGCTTTCCATTGTGAATCACTTGACATATGGCGTCTCCATATAGCTGTTGAATGAAGTTGATAAAGGTTTGTGGTACTCCGTAGTGTTGAAGCAACTGCCAAATTACTTCTCGGTCGACGCTTTCGAAGGCCTTTCCAAAGTCGATGAAGTTGAGGCAGAGAGTTGACTGCCATTCTATGCTCTGTTCTATGATGATGCGTAGCGTAGTGTTGCAATTTGATCCGCACATTATTTGTTCTTCCTGAAGCCAGTCTGTTCCTGTGGTAATTTTGAATCCAGCACATTGTTTAGTTTCTCCAGGATGATGTGGCTTAGTATTTTGTTTGGGGTGAACAGAAGCATGATTCCGAGCCAGCTATTGTTCTTGCAAAGACTTAGGTCTCCCTTCTTTGGGAGTTTGACAAGGTAGCCCTTCTTCTAATCAATTGCAGGTAGCTTTCCTTCCTTCCTTATCATAGGAGACTCTAGAAGATCTAGAGTACCCAGATGATAGTTATTCTAGATGAAGATCCACAGTCGTTTGTGCGTCTTGGATAGCAATTTGAAAATGTTTGGGACGCATTTCTTACCACACAAATGCAGTTTGTAGCTACGCGTCCTCAGGGTTGATAAACCATTTGACAATTTGCTGTGAACTGTTTAAGCGCTCGGACGATTCTTTCACTAACTTAGTCACTAGGATGACCACTGGTGGGTCAGTGGTCATCGAAATCGCTGCACTTATGCAGAGGCTTCGAATGACTTCTTAAACCTACATTCGCCTTGATTGATATTTGATCGTGTATTAAATGTCAAATGTACTGCGCTGCAGTTCGTTGTGTTCTATTTAGTAGCTATGAAACATCGCCATTAAAGGTGGATGACATTAGAAAGCTTCAGGTTTTCGACTACTTTTGCCTTAATAGCATAGGCTTTGTTGCGGTGACACTATATCACTATAGAATGGCGTCAAGTGCAGAGTTCATAGCAGGAGAGGGATGTCAGTTGATAAGGTTGTGGTGAGCCCTCATTGACTCAGATGTCTGTAACATTTGTTATGCATACCCAGTCACCATCTTTCTCATTAAACAATGTTGGTTGAATAAGATCCGGACTGGAAAAGGATCTAAATTGATCAGACTAAACTGTGTATGATGCCTTCCACCATTGGTCTGATCGGTTTAGAGAAGCGTAGGCGTCCTGATTAGGGTCAATATGCAACCGAAATCGGTGGCTAGAAACTTTAGACGATATGGATCAGAACCGACATCAGTGGTGCGGATGGATCCACAAATTAAACTTCATCTTGGTCGTCGAATGAATTTGACTGGTTTCATCTTTTTTTGTTTTGTTTTTACTACTTTCTACCACTTTCGGTTGCTTTCTTTTTTATCTTCCATTTTGATGTCTCCTACCGTGACGTACTGATATGTTGCATGAGGCGTATGCAGGAGTGACAGTTCCCACGTTGATGCTGACTGACCGATGTCGATATGCATGATAACTGACGTTGATGCCTTAAGATTCTTCTCGGTATGACTCAACTGACTGCAGTAACGTATATTTTACATTTAGATATTTGTTCTGTCCCCTCTTCACTTTGTCCAGTTGCTTTCTACGACTGTTGAATCACAATTCTTTGTCTTTCATATTGTTTCTCTGTGTGCTGATGTGTTGATGAGGGATGTAACAACTTTGACCATCGCTCAGTCATTCCAGGTTGCTTATCGACTGGAAGAGTGATAAAATCAGAATTTTGGCCAAAGTAGGTCGAGTCTGGAAAAGGCTCGGGGCGGTCAGACTTAAATATGACGTCAATGAATGTGGTTCTTGACTGTTAGTTTGAGCCTTGTGGGACGATGCAGACTAGCCGGTTGGGATCCACAGGACAAGAGAAGCCAGTGGTTTGGAACTCTAAGCAATATAGATCAAGACCAATGTCAGTGATGCAAATTTGTACACACATTATCATCATCTTAACCGCTGTACTTAATCTGATCACTTTCTTAATCCTCCTTCCTCTTATTTAGTACTTTCTACTTCTTTTGACCGATTTTTCTTTACTTCTTCATCTTCCATTTTATTACCTTGTTACTTGATATGGTGATATGAGATGTGGAACTTGGACCGTTACTCAGTAATGCCTGGTCCTCTATTGATCTTGATGATGATGATTTGTTTGATAAAATGTATGGTGTTGCAAAGTATTGCATTATTTAAATAGTCCAGAGTCATATGCTGCCTTTCGTCATAGCTTTTTTTGCAGACTCTTTGCTTATCGACTAGGACACTTGGCTTTCAGTCAGTAGGTCCAGGGTATCAAATACTAGTAGTTTCATTCATAAGCCTGTACTGGATAGCTGCATTGTATTATCTCCTTTTTGACTTGTGTATTGTCAAGTAACCGTTTGGTTCGAGTCCCAGCTAAACTTCATTGAATAAAATTATGTTGCGGAAACGATTTCGGTGTCAATCGTATTTTTGATTCCCTTATCGTTTGAATTTAGCTATACTTATCAGTTGTATTACGTTGATTCGGCTTAATTATCATATTAGTGCGAATGTTGAAATCTAACCTATACCAGGTTAGTAACAATAATATCGCCCCGCGATCGGGCCCCAAACCTTGTTTGGTTAACTGGTTCACTAGTTACTACCCCGTCATAAGCCCGCATAAAGAGGGAAGGTTGGGCTTAGGGCTAGCAATCCTACCCTGTAAAACCAGTCTAATCGCTAAACAAACTTCAAAGCACAAAGAAATTATAGAAATTAAAAACAAACTTAATCCTCACTGGAATCGGGGAGACGAAATGACGCCGTTTGGTGAAAGACTTCGGGAAGCCAATCGGCCAATGTGTCTTTTTTTCTCTTGATGAAAGGAAAAGTAAATATGGGGACGTTGATTGTACACACCATGTATGAACCTAGCTGGAAAGGCTGCCCAGATTGCAAAAGAGATGAGAAGATATGGCATGGAAGTGCTTGGAATCTGCGAAAGTAGATGAAATGGAAGTGGACTCTACAAACTGTCAACTTCAGAGTCAATAATCTACTCCGACATTGTCACACAGACGACAACCACGAGCACACGGAGGGAGTGGCTATCATGATTTCCCCAAGAACATCGAAGGCTCTCATGCAGTGGGAACCGACCTCCTCATGCAGGGTCACCTTCATGACAGCAAGATTCAACTCAAAAGGAAGGAAAGTCACAGTCGTTCGATGCTACGGGCCAACAAATAATGCAGATGAAGAGAAGAAGTAAGAATTCTACAGACAACTGCAATCAGTACTAGACAAGACTGCAGGTGGTGACATCAAACTTCTAATGGGTGTGGTGACATGAATACTAAACTGGGGTTGGACAACACAGGAAGAGAACCAATCATGGGTCAAGAAGCACTCGGTGAAATGAATGAGAATAGAGAACTGTTTGCAGATTTCTGCGCACTCAACGATTTGCTGATTGGAGGCAGTGTGTACACAAACAAGGATATTCACAAGGCAGCAACATGGATTTTATTTCACCGGATGGACACACTACACTAAAAATCAGATCGACTTCATCTCAATGTGAAGAAAGTGGAGACACAGCCTACTGGACACAAGATCAGATCAAGAAGGGGAACAGATCTAGGTTCAGACCACTACACTATCTAGTGCAGGGAACCTACCTTCAATATCAAGTCGAAATCCTTCAACGAAACTGGTGATGATAGACCACAGTTCAAGTTCAACACCCAGAACAGAAATTGGAGGAGAAAACTACAAAGGACATCTTCACGTCAGAACAAAATGGGAGACATTGAGCAACATCCCCGAGGAAACATGCGTGGAAGAACACTGGAATTTTTTGAAAGAGGTGAAAAGAAACCTGCACAACAGTATAAGGAAGGAAGAAGAAGCAAGACGAGACAAGG